ACTGTATTTTTCAGTGCTATTTGTTTTTAAACATATTAAGTCATTACACAGTTAGCTTAAATTTAAGGGGCATCCATAACAGCGTTATGGATGCCCCCTAAATCAGTGGTTTTACTGTACACAAACTACAGATTTAGGACCCCTTTTCTCCTTTTTTTTCATAGGTATGCCTTCCTTCTTTCCCATAGGTATGCCTCCTTCCTCTGCGTATGTATGCATATTTTTTACAAAATCACCCCCTTGCCCTCCCACCTTCCCCATCATTTTTCAAAACAAGAAAATCAAAAAAACTTTTAGTTAATTAGACATCACTGTTATATAACATATATTGATTTTTTATACTTGTGAAGTTAAATGCTATTTTTTTTAAAAAGTTTAAGTTAAAATGAAAGATAGTAAAACCAAGTAGGTTACTATCTTAAATGCCCCTCCTTTTATGCATATTTATGTACATTTATGGAAGTCCTCTTATGTAATATTAAAATTTAAATATAATCAGAACTTCTATAAAAAAAAATTAAGTCATTACACAGTTAGCTTAAATTTAAGGGGCATCCATAACAGCGTTATGGATGCCCCCTAAATCAGTGGTTTTACTGTACACAAACTACAGATTTAGGACCCCTTTTCTCCTTTTTTTCCATAGGTATGCCTTCCTTCTTTCCCATAGGTATGCCTCCTTCCTCTGCGTATGTATGCATATTTTTTACAAAATCACCCCCTTGCCCTCCCACCTTCCCCATCATTTTTCAAAACAAGAAAATCAAAAAAACTTTTAGTTAATTAGACATCACTGTTATATAACATATATTGATTTTTTATACTTGTGAAGTTAAATGCTATTTTTTTTAAAAAGTTTAAGTTAAAATGAAAGATAGTAAAACCAAGTAGGTTACTATCTTAAATGCCCCTCCTTTTATGCATATTTATGTACATTTATGGAAGTCCTCTTATGTAATATTAAAATTTAAATATAATCAGAACTTCTATAAAAAAAAATTAATTTCAAAGTGAATTTACATTTTTCTTAAGTTTTTGATGCCGTGTACAAAATGAGTATATCTGGAGATGGCTATAAAATTTGATTTTGATTTTTTTTATATAGGACTCTCAAACTCCATATTAAAAAAACAAAATCTAATTATTTGTAATGCTATTTTGATTTACCTCATTTTGTAAATTGATAAAAATTTGAATGTGTGTGAATAATCTTTAAATGTATTTAATGTTTTTTTCTAGGTGTTTTCAGTTCCATAAATGTTTCCATTCCAAGAAAAACTAATATTGTATCAAATAACAATTGTAAAGGAACACAAAATTTAATTACAAATTTTCCACTTCACCACTATTTCATGCATCAAATTCACCACTTATCAGCAAGAAGAAGATTTGGGGTAACATTGTTTGCAAAAGAAACTCCATGTTTTTGTTTTGGTGAAAAAATGGAGAATCATCATTCCATGATGTGTTCGCTAGATGATTGTTGTGACATATTTGCAATTAAAAAAATGAACACAGACAAATGTTGCATGTGTGCTGTCCAATTTGAAAAGGATCGTTTTTGTCCTTTGCATGAAATATATATTCAAAAAACAACCAAAAAAAAGAAGTCATGCAGTTGGTTTGTATGTCCTTCTATATGTGCAAGTACTAATAAAAATTTTCCTGAATTATCATCTGATGATGAATGCTTAACTAAAGATTCTCCATTAGACTATTTTGAGATAGAATTTGATGCAACATCTTATGAATTAGAAGTGAATTTAAATTCATATGACAATTACAATGATAAAAATTTTTTCTTTCCTGATGATGAAAATGAAGAAGATGAAAACAGTGATTATGAAAATGACGATAATGAAATATGTTTTCAAAGCTTTGAATATGAATTTAATGAAAATCACAGTTCTTTGAAAAAATGTTCTAAGTTTCAAAATCATATAAATGACTCCATAATGACAGTAGCCAAATCTAAATACCACCGGCTTTGTATACCTGAAAAAAAAGCTGAAGAAAATATACAGACACTTCATGATACAAAAAAAGTTCGCTTTGCAGAAACCGTTGTTCATCATTTGTATTCATGGCAGTATGCGTATAAAGAATCAAGGAGCAGTTATTGGGTAAAATTAGCAAATGATAGAGCCCATTTTAGTAGACGTACTGAAAAATTAGCAAAAATTTTAGATCCAGTTTTGAAAAATAAAATTGCTCTGATTAAAAGGTTGTCATAATATTTTTATAGAAAACTTTAACCATATATTTTCAAAATTGCTCAGTGTGTTTTGTTATAAATGCATAATTAGATTTGTATAATATATTTTTGGGTTTTTTGAATTTATATCAAATGTTTTTTTTTAATTTAATTCATTAAACTGGGTATATTATTTATATAGGTATGTCGTTATTATGTAAATATTTATGAGGGGCATTACTATATTTATTATATGTTGAAAATCTTGGTATTGTGTTCTTACACAAATATTATTTTTGTTAGCCATATTTTGCTTGATTTATTACATCTGACATTAATTTAAGTATTTTTAATTCAAGCATTACGTGTTTTTAAGTAATATGTAATTTTATCGTTCAAAATCATTATTAGAAACGTTTGAAAATACTATTGATTAGTCATAGTAAAAACGCATGTAAGCTAAGTAATATCATATGTAAGTAATAACTATATATTAAAAAAACACAGGATTTAATAAAGTTTTGAATAAAGTATATTTTAAATGGGACATGAGACAGTTCTCTTGAATAAAGAAGTTTTCGACTGAATAAAACCACGAATTGTGAATTCTCTTTCAAATTGCCTAGTACAACCAAAATAATGCTCGCAAGGTTCTTCAGTACAATATCTAGGGCATATAATTCGCTCCTGTGGGTACAAAAAGATAAACCCTATTGCAAGTGAATATCTTCAATTGATAAAAACCAAATCATTGCGCATCATTTAAAACCAATTCTTAATTGAAAATCAATATCGTCAGCATTTGTTGAAATAAGAAAAAGTCTGAGAAATACTAACGTTAAAAAAAGTATGTACTGTGATTGCTTTGAAGTTGCATGACTGTTAAAATCTGCTTCTATTATCTTTTTTATTAATTTAGGGTCACAAATTCCTAACACTAAGGGATCAGATGCAAAGTCTTTAACTTCATATAAATCTCTAGATATATTTAAACTTGCATGTGCAAATATTCCAGGTTGAATTAGATACAATCCAATTGTTTTTAATTCAGCCCCAAACAAAATTTGGTTTCTTACGGCTTTCGCAACATGATTATCTATAAAAGCAACTTCATTTGTTTTTTCATTAAGAAATGATAGTAAAATCTTTGTTATCCATTTACTTTTGTATGATAAACCATCTGTGCAAAATGAAACAACTTTAAAATTTGGGTGTCTTGTTAAAACATCATAAATGTGATTATTGAATGTATGATTACTTTCATTTGTTGAATACATAGAAGTTTCATTGGTGTCATTCCTTCAGGACAGTTGTGAATCATTATAACAACTGCTTTAACTTCTGTTGCTAGACCTATTGCACTGTCAATACCATTAAGTGTTTCATCATTTTTTTTTAGTATATGATTTGGCGCAACCTTTCCCACAATACAATTAAACTTTACACAAGTTAAAAAGGCTGAAATTACTTTGGTAGCATCCATAGATACAGACACAATTAGTTTATCGGTACCATGCATTATTTCATAAATTTTGTCTACATGCTAATCTAATTTGTTAAGGCCATCTAAAGAAACATCAAGAATAACACTATTTGATGTTTTTGCAGTGGCGCGTTGTATATGTCTCAAAGAAACACTAGGGAAATTCGCAGCAACAAATCTATAAACACATTTACCAAATATTCAAAGCATTAAAAAAAATCTAACATCACAATTTGAAACTTTTCATTCGTTTTACCACTTGCTTTTGAAATTAGACAAGACTGCATTGCATATAGTAAAGTTCCTCTTTGTTTAGGATTTTCTTTGTAAAGTTTATGAAATGAATTTACAAAGTGCTTCTAAGTCTGCTTCACGAATTATAGATGCTTTGATAAAATACGAAACTTTGATAAAATACGAAATATTGATAAAATACGAAAACTTTGATAAAATACGAAACTGCTTTACAAAGTGCTTCTAAGTCTGCTTCACAAATTTCAGATAATTTGATAATTTCTAAAACATCTTTTATAACATCCATTGCTTCCAATCGACTAGTGAATGATCTATTTCTACATAAATTAATGCAATGATCACATTTTTTGATGTGATTCCCAGTAATTTGAATGCTATGAAGATAAATTTTATTATCTATTTTAACAAATTTCGCGTCATTATTTATCATACAATACATAATGCCATAGGAGTTAAAAAGGACTTCAAGTTCTCTTCTCTTATTAAATACACTATCGTATGGTTTAGTGAATTTTACTTTAGCTTCAGTAATAATACTAAAATCTCAGAATTAGCCACAACTTCTAATTTCGAAACATTTGGAAAAACAATAGGGAAAAACTGATGTATATTAGTTTGAAAAAGCCCAGCTTCATTTTCTTTACGAACAGATACCTCGTGTAAAATGGATTTACAATGTTGATCGTACTCATGGGTCGTAAAAGATCTTCACTTTCTGACTTTGATTCCGACGTTACATAGCAAGCATTGTATATTGTTACCATCTTAATCCAGTTTAACATATTTCTTTGATTCTAATTGTACTGCTTTATCAGACCACTCTGCTTTCCTTTCAGAAGCCATATTTTATTTTGCTTAGCGCTTTTAAATAAAGTGCGGGTCTGAAACAGAAGGCCTTAAAATTCTAACACCCTTCATACATTATGCGAGTCCTTCTGTTGTAGGCCTTCTAAAATTGAAAAATGACTTGCATACCCGCAACCGAAGGCCTTCGGTCAATTATTGAGAACCGCACGCCGACAAACGGAAGGCCTTTTTTTTTACCAATGCCACCCCTCCTATTATAAGTACGAGTATTTAACGGGTTTTTAATATTATCCAAAAATAATTTCTTTATAAGCACATCAAACTGGCACTCAAAAGAAGCAAAATTTTATTAAAGTTTTAGCAATCATTGTTAATAAAAGCATTTTAAAAATTTACTTTAAAAAAAAAAAACGTAAAAAAGAAAAATAATTTTTTTATATATTATAAAAAACAATACACAATAAAATCTAAACTTAAAATACTTATACAAAATGAAAACTAGTTTTGAAACTTTTTAGAAATTTGCTTTTTTTGTGTACCAAAATGAAATACTTTTGAAGAAAATTATTTTAGATAATACTAGAGACCCTTAAAAACAAAGAAAATCCTAAACAAAGAGGAACTTTACTATATGCAATGCAGTCTTGTCTAATTTCAAAAGCAAGTGGTAAAACGAATGAAAAGTTTCAAATTGTGATGTTAGATTTTTTTTAATGCTTTGAATATTTGGTAAATGTGTTTATAGATTTGTTGCTGCGAATTTCCCTAGTGTTTCTTTGAGACATATACAACGCGCCACTGCAAAAACATCAAATAGTGTTATTCTTGATGTTTCTTTAGATGGCCTTAACAAATTAGATTAGCATGTAGACAAAATTTATGAAATAATGCATGGTACCGATAAACTAATTGTGTCTGTATCTATGGATGCTACCAAAGTAATTTCAGCCTTTTTAACTTGTGTAAAGTTTAATTGTATTGTGGGAAAGGTTGCGCCAAATCATATACTAAAAAAAAATGATGAAACACTTAATGGTATTGACAGTGCAATAGGTCTAGCAACAGAAGTTAAAGCAGTTGTTATAATGATTCACAACTGTCCTGAAGGAATGACACCAATGAAACTTCTATGTATTCAACAAATGAAAGTAATCATACATTCAATAATCACATTTATGATGTTTTAACAAGACACCCAAATTTTAAAGTTGTTTCATTTTGCACAGATGGTTTATCATACAAAAGTAAATGGATAACAAAGATTTTACTATCATTTCTTAATGAAAAAACAAATGAAGTTGCTTTTATAGATAATCATGTTGCGAAAGCCGTAAGAAACCAAATTTTGTTTGGGGCTGAATTAAAAACAATTGGATTGTATCTAATTCAACCTGGAATATTTGCACATGCAAGTTTAAATATATCTAGAGATTTATATGAAGTTAAAGACTTTGCATCTGATCCCTTAGTGTTAGGAATTTGTGACCCTAAATTAATAAAAAAGATAATAGAAGCAGATTTTAACAGTCATGCAACTTCAAAGCAATCACAGTACATACTTTTTTTAACGTTAGTATTTCTCAGACTTTTTCTTATTTCAACAAATGCTGACGATATTGATTTTCAATTAAGAATTGGTTTTAAATGATGCGCAATGATTTGGTTTTTATCAATTGAAGGTATTCACTTGCAATAGGGTTTATCTTTTTGTACCCACAGGAGCGAATTATATGCCCTAGATATTGTACTGAAGAACCTTGCGAGCATTATTTTGGTTGTACTAGGCAATTTGAAAAAGAATTCACAACTCGTGGTTTTATTCAGTATGATGATAGAATAAATCAATTTTTTTCATCTGCTTTTAGATCCACATTAAACACTGGAGGGAATTCGTCAAAAGGTTATGCCAGTACTTTAACTGGCTTTGTTGCATCAGTAACTGCAATTCTAGAAAAACAAAAAACAAAGAAAAAAGAAGTTATCCCTGCATTGAATTTATCACCTAATCAAGAAAAGGTTTTTTTTTGACCTTTTTTGTCATCAATCATTTGTTAGTAAACTATCCAAAATAGTTTTTCCAACAATCAATGAGTTTTCGGATCAAATGAGTGTTTTGCTTAATACATGTAGAATTAAAAAAACTTTGACTATAAAATTTAGTTCTCTTTTAGATTTAAAGAGCTTCTATACTTCCTTTATAGATAATAAAAGTAGTCTGATAAAAGTAAACGTTAATCCCAACTTGGATAAGGCTTTAATTGCTGATAATGGCTGTGACACTGATGTTCAAGAAAAATTGATAGAAATAATTAATAATAGTTTACAAGAAGCAATTTTAGAAATTGAAATAACTCATAATGAACCAGAAATAAACAATGTCGATGAGGTGTTGGTTGAGATTAACCAAAGCAACATTTTTTTTCAGAAAATGTTCACTCAAATATCCCTTAAGGACATTTGTGAAGAAGGGTTGGCCTCTATTTCTGAGCAAGCTCATGTATCGTTTAATAATCATCAAAAATCTAAATCATTATTACAACGTTGGTATAGACCGAATTTAAAAAATAAGTCTAGCATGGAAAAATTTAATGTAAAAATAGGGAGTCTTTTTCAAGCAGAACTGAAAACATGAGTTGTCATGAGTATTGTTCGAAAAGCATACAATTAATGGAGACCAACAGAAAGTTGTGAAGTTCGTGTTGATAAAAAAGCTTTGTTTTGATACATTCTTCTTTAGCAGAATATGGAGCCTTAACCGGTA